CTGTAATAAGTTTGGGCCTCTCACAAAAGCAAGGCCCAGACCAAATCCTGGATCCCTGCATTTCTTTTTTCTTAATCTCACCCCAGAAAAAAGAACTCTTGATCTGTCCTGTGAACTCATGGGCATGAGAATGGCTTTTGGGATGTGGTGGCAAGAGCCATGATACAAAGTACAGGTTCTTACAGATCACAAACACCTAGTTGCCAACCTGCATCCCTAGAAACTAGCCCAAAAAGCAACCCCCAACACCTCCAGAAGTGTCTCCTAATCACCCCTTGTAAAATGAGAAATTTTACAATCTTTGTATTCTCCTTTGCCGGAGGAAGGCCATGTGAGCCCAAAAGCTTGGAACTAAAGATTTTTGTTTGTTTGTTTTTGTTTTTGCAACTGTCCCGTTGGTCCAATAAAAGATATTGCCTCTACCACAAGATTTCTGATTGCTTGTGCCTTTAGACCAATGCAGCTACAACCTATATCCCCCAAACCACCCTTTAATCCCTAGAGCACTCAAACAGCAGCCTGCAGCTGCCCCCACGTCTGAGCGCAGTTTCTTCAGTGCACAGTCCTGGCTGACTGAGGCAGCGAGATCTCCAGCTCCACTCTGCGCTCCTCTGTATAGGGCTGGGCAGCCTCCATGTGCATGCCGCTCCCTTTCCCCCTTACTCCAGCCTCAAGCTTCCTCTTCCTTCTTATCTTGCCTCCAGGCCCGCAGGGTTTCTGGAAGTTGCAGTCCAAATGAAGTCAGCCCGGCACTGCAGACTGCTCCTGGTTCCTCCTCCTGTTACACACACTACGTTCACATGATGCTAGAATATTTGCGTGCAGCTCAGGCACTGAACCAGATGCAGCTTCACTGGGGTGGCATTTTTGTTGTTCTACTTTGACTTTCAGATAAGGTCGAAATGGGAAAGTGGATGTTCCTCCTTCCCATGAAGTGGAATATGACGCTAGCCTGGCACCGGGACCTTTGGAACCAGGCTCCAATTTGAAGCCATCGAACATCCTCTCTCCACCTGGCCAATGGCTTTGCTTTCTGTGCCACTGCCTGGGAAGAAGTCCCTCTTGAAGAGCAGACCACCTTCACATGACCACAGCCTCAAGGCCAGGATGGGGTTCTCTTTACGCCAGGTAATATTTAATAGATTTCATAGCTATTAGGGCTGGAAGGGACCTTGGAAGATCATCGAGTCCAGCCCCCCGCCCCCAGGGCAGAAAGTCAGCTAGGGTCAAAGGATCCCAGCAAGATAGCCATCCAAAAGTTTTTTTAAAGAGTCCAGAGCAAGTGCTTGCAGCACCTCTGGAGGCAGTCTATATCAGGCCCTGGGGGCTTGGACAGTAAAGAAGTTTTTCCTTGGGTCCAGCCTAAAACGGTCTTGGAGGAGTTTGTGACTGTTTGACTTTGTCATCTCTTGGGGTGCTCTGGTGAACAGGCATTCCCCCAGATCCTGATGCACACCTCTGATGTACTGCTAGGCACCCACTAAGTCACCCCAAACCTGTGCTTTTCCAGGCTGAAGAGTCCCATGGCTCTAAAACTCACATCATAAGGCCTGTTCTCTTGCCCTCTGATCATGCACGTGGCTCTCCGGTTGAAGGCTATAGGTGTAAGGAGAGAGCCTTGGGGGACAATACTGGTGTAAGCACCATGATTCATAGATTCATAGATTATAGATTTGGAAGGGACCCAATGGATCATTGTGTCTGATCCCCTGCCCCTGGCCGAGGTCAGACGACAGCAGCCAGGTGACTGTGAAGCCTCCTCTTGAAGACCTCCAAGTTAGGTGATAGTACCGCCTCTCTTGGATGCCCATTCCAGACTCTGGCCACCTTTCCTGTAAAAACATTCCTCCTAATGTCTAACCTATATCTACTTTCCACTAGTTTGCACCTATGATTCCTAGTTAGTCCCTGGGGCGCTCTGGTAAACAGTGCATCGCCAATTCCCTCCTGTCCTCCTCTGATAAACTTATAGGCAGCTACAAGGTTACTCCTCAGCTGTCTTTTGTAAAGGCTGAAGAGATCCAGATCTCTCAGCTTCTCCTTGTAGAGTCTTTCACGGCAACCACTAATCATGTGAGTGGCCTCCTCTGAACCCTCT